ATTTTATGAACTTATCCATAGTTATAGTTGGTTGAATGAAATTAGCTAACTCCTACTGGAATCCCTCCAGGGGCTACTGCCGGTCCCAAGCCCAGATAAAGGAGGAGGGTTGGGCACGGGTTCAGCGACCCCATCTTGTAGAAAACTAGACAGAAAAGCGCTAGCTAGAAAAATCTATTCAAACCTTTTAAACTCTGCCCTAGGAATCCCAAGGTCTTCATTTAGAAGAACTATGACACCTCATGAAGAAAGCTGAGTTCCTTCGAAAGTCACGAGGCCGATGCCCCTTCTGACAAACAGAGCAACCACTTATTTAGGTACATGGAATGTTCGTACAATGTGGGACACCGGGAGAGCCTTCAAAATTGCTGCAGAAATGAGGAGATACAACCTGGAGGTACTTGGGATCAGTGAAACACATTGGATCCAAGTTGGACAACAATGACTAGCTTCAGAGGAGCTTCTGTTATACTCCGACCATGATAAAAAATGCCCCGCATACACAAGGAGTTGCATTGATGCTGTCCAAACAAGCACAAAATGCACTTATAGGGTGGGAGTCTCATGGACCAAGGATCATAAAAGCCTCCTTCAAAACAAAGAAAGAAGGCATTACAATAAACATCATCCAATTCTATGCGCCTACCAACGACTACAATGAAGACGCTAAAGATCAATTCTACAGTAAGCTGCAGTCAATCGTCGAGAAGTGCCCAACGAAGGACCTGACCATTCTGATGGGATGGACAACACCGGATACAAAGACATCATGGAACGACACGGACTGGGAGAAAGGAACGAAAATGGTGAGAGATTTGCAAACCTATGTGCCTTCAATAAACTGGTCATAGGCGGCACCATATTCCCACATAAACGCATACACAAAACCACATGGACTTCACCGGATCACACTACACAAAACCAAATCGACCATATTTGCATCAACAAAACGTTCAGGAGGACTATAGAGGACGTGAGAACCAAGAGAGGAGCTGATATAGCATCAGATCATCACTTGCTGGTCGCCAAGATGAAATTGAAACTCAAGAAGCACTGGACAACGGGGCGGACAATATCACAAAAGTTCAATACGGCCTTTCTTCAGGATACTAACAAACTCAACAAATTCAAGATAGTCCTCAGCAACAAGTTCCAGGCCTTTCATGATCTACTCAATGGAGAAGGAACTACTGTGGAGAGCAACTGGAAGGGGATCAAAGAGGCAATCACTTCAACATGTCATGAGGTCCTGGGTCACAAGAAGCACCATCACAAGGAATGGATCACTGTTGATACACTGGATAAGATTCAAGAAAGAGGAACAAGAAGGCAGCAATCAATACCAGTCGAACAAGAGCAGAAAAAGCCAAGGCACAAGCTGAATACACAGAAGTAAACAAACAAGTGAAGAGGAGCATCAGAACCGACAAACGTAAATATGTGGAAGATTTAGCAACGACGGCGGAAAAGGCTGCAAGAGAAGGAAACATGAGACAACTGTATGACACGACAAAGAAACTCTCTGGAAATCGCCGCAAACCAGAACGACCAGTGAAAAGCAAGGAAGGCGAGGTAATCACCAACATTGAAGAGCAACAAAACAGGTGGGTAGAACACTTCAAAGAACTCTTGAATCGACCAGCTCCACTGAACCCACCCAACATCGAAGCAGCACCCACGGACCTCCCAATCAATGTTGGCCCACCAACAATTGAAGAAATCAGCATGGCCATCAGACAAATCAAGAGTGGCAAAGCAGCAGGACCGGACAACATCCAGCAGAGGCACTAAAAGCAGACGTAGCGGCAACTGCAAGGATACTCCACATTCTCTTCAATAAGATTTGGGATGAGGAACAAGTACCAACAGACTGGAAAGAAGGACTTCTGATCAAAATACCGAAGAAAGGCGATCTCAGCAACTGTGATAACTACAGGGGCATCACTCTTCTCTCAATACCGGGAAAAGTCTTCAACAGGGTATTGTTAAACAGGATGAAGGACTGCGTAGACGCCCAACTTCGTGACCAACAGGCAGGATTCCGTAAGGATAGATCGTGTACAGACCAAATCGCAACTCTACGGATCATTGTGGAACAATCAATTGAATGGAATTCATCACTCTACATCAACTTCATTGACTACGAAAAGGCATTTGATAGCGTGGACAGAACAACACTATGGAAACTTCTTCGACACTACGGCGTGCCTCAGAAGATAGTCAATATCATACAGAATTCCTATGATGGATTAAACTGCAAAATTGTGCATGGAGGACAGTTGACAAACTCGTTCGAGGTAAAGACCGGTGTCAGGCAAGGTTGCTTACTCTCACCCTTTCTCTTTCTCCTGGTGATCGACTGGATCATGAAGACGTCAACGTCTGAAGGGAAACGCGGGATACAATGGACATCTAGGATGCAGTTGGACGATCTAGACTTCGCAGATGATCTGGCCCTTCTATCCCAAACGCAACAACAAATGCAGGAGAAGACGACAGTGTGGCAGCAGCCTCAGCAGCAGTAGGTCTCAATATACACAAAGGGAAAAGCAGGATTCTCCGATACAACACAGAATGCACCAATCCAATCACAATTGACGGAGAAGATTTGGAAGATGTAAAAACCTTTACATATTTGGGCAGCATCATTGATGAACAGGGTGGATCTGATGCAGATGTGAAGGCGCGGATCGGCAAAGCGAGAGCAGCATATTTACAACTGAAGAACATCTGGAACTCAAAGCAACTGTCAACCAACACCAAGGTCAGGATTTTCAATACAAATGTCAAGACAGTTCTACTGTATGGGGCGGAAACCTGGAGAACTACGAAAGCCATCATCCAGAAGATACAGGTGTTTATTAACAGTTGTCTACGCAAAATACTTCGGATCCGTTGGCCGGACACTATTAGCAACAACGTACTGTGGGAGAGAACAAACCAGATTCCAGCGGAGGAAGAAATCAGGAAGAAGCGCTGAAAGTGGATAGGATACACATTGAGGAAAGCACCCAACTGCGTCACAAGACAAGCACTCACATGGAATCCACTATCATTACTGTTAGCAGTACTGTCAGGGCTGTGTATAACCGATATATATTTCTTGACCATTTACATGACTCATGACAGAGCCTCAAATAAAATCGGATTTCGCGAACGATGACCATTAATTTCAATATCAGTTAGACAAACCATACCTTACATTTGTATTCACATCCCGTTAATGCACTATACCTTTCATGCAGTCCAGAAATTAGATATCGGCAGCATTTATAGCACTGTACGCAATTACATTCAAATACTTAAAGGTTACTGAACTCATCTAGACTGACATCATCCTCCTTGTATCTCGATAATATGTGGTACAATAAAACTATCACAGAGAGTAGCACACAACGTGAAATACACAAATTCGAGTGCATTACTGTATTACATAGTTGTTTTCAGGAAACTCTGGAGGTGTAAAACTCCAAAACAAATAGTTCTGTTAGTCCTTCACATTGATGCTGACCTCAGCAGTTTAACTGGACACATCCCAGCCGAAGGCGCTCAGCTACAGATCCGCACCAGATGATGGGTGTGCACATCATGCTGCACATCCCTTGCAATTGTCAGCCAGCTTATACCAAATGCTTCATAACATATCAATAACTTTCCAAGTATTCCTTCAAAACCCTTCATTTCTGAATCTAATTTGGCTGGGTTGGTATACTTTGATTATAAAGGTGTTACGTGTTAAGGGGTTAATAAACCCCGAATACCCGAGGTACCTTTAAAACCTTACCAGTTGTGGCTGTACTGGGCATTACGTGCTGAAAATCGGCTACAAACATCATGGTAGAAGATATGGATTTGTTCTGAATTCCAACCCAGTTCGCTAAATTATCCGCTTCATTTAAGTTTTTAGATGCATCTTGAGTAAAACAGTTTGAGTCTCTACACTTAGTCGATCCTAAAGTAGGACGTTGGTTTGTGTCTTTAGGCGGACACACTGACTGGTTAGGTAGGCTACAATATGAAATGTGAGGATCAATGGCCAAAAACAATCCTACTGATTAACAGCAGGCATTTCACATCTCTCGTCTTACATTTGTTCACGAAGTCAACGAACGACTTTTCCGACCCAGTGGGCGACACGACACTGTGATAACCACGACTATCATACAGCCTTCTGTAATTTGTTTATTGTAGTTTCTTAGTCACAACAACCTTTGGGATAATTACATTATCCATAATCATACAATCTACCCAAGTTTTAAACTCATGCGACAGAGATATCTTTAGCTGATAAACACCTTGTTCGGGAATACTCCTCTAACCTGCAATGAGTAGTAAAGGTGATTCAACTGAAGACATATGAACAATAGGAGTAAACAAGTCAAAATCTAATTTTACACCACTGTTACTCTCATCCTTTTTCATGTTAAAAAGCGTCCTGACAATCATGTAAACACACAAGGCTTGTCGAGTGACTGAAAAAACGTTTGGACATGTCTTACTAGTTATCTATGACAATAATTATTATTGTTATCATCATGAATAAACAGTTCTCTCTATTTCTCCAGTCGTCACTCTCATTCATCCGCTGACCCCCACTTTTTGGTTCAACTGATCGCTTGATTTATTGATTCTCATTTTTACTTTTTAATTCTCTCCACTTCGGACTATAAATATATATTTTTGACAAAATAGCTGTTGAGTGTATCAACCCTCCCGATTTTGGAGATGTGCATTGAACTAAAAACAAGGTAACTCAACTCTTAAATAAATAACGAATTCATTGAAACTATGGCATTTGGTTCTTTAGACTGTTCACACTAGACTCTGCAAAGTCCTGGAACCGTACATTAACATATGGACGAAAAATTCAGAAAAGCAGACTAACATATTCGCGCTTGTTGAAAAAATGTACATTCAAGTTTTTTTGATTCTTTTTTCCTGTTTATGCTCTCTGAGCAATTAAAATATACTGCTACTGTGCAAAGTCTGGTTCAATGCATTTTGTTTTATGTTGCATTCTGGATTGGAGGCCTCCGACGCGCGCATTTTTCAAGAGCTTCGAGCGTGGGGATCGCACTATTAGATGGAATCGTCTGGTAGAGGTCGCGGTGGTTTTCGTGGTTCGTTTGGAGCTAGGGGAAGGGGACGTGGACGAGGGCGTGGTCGTGGACGAGGTCGTGGTCGTGGAGTTGCAACAAAAGAATGGAAGCCTGTTACTCAGTTGGGACGTCTGGTATTCGACAGGAAAATCACTACATTAGAAGAAATATACATGTTCAGTCTCCCAATTAAGGAGTGTGAAATTGTAGATACCATATTGGGTTCAAGTTTAAAAGATGAAGTCCTCAAAATCATGCCAGTTCAAAAGCAGACTTGTGCTGGTCAGAGAACCCGTTTTAAAGCAATTGTTGCAATGGGGGACCATAACTGTCACGTTGGGCTAGGAGTTAAATGTGCTAAGGAGGTCGCTACAGCTATTAGAGGTGCTATTATTCAGGCAAAGCTGTCAATAATTCCTGTAAGGAAAGGGTACTGGGGTAATCAGATTGGAAAACCACACACTGTTCCATGTAAAGTGACTGGAAAATGTGGTTCTGTGTCAGTACGTTTGATCCCAGCCCCTCGTGGGACAGGTATTGTTGGTGCTCCAGTTCCCAAAAAACTCCTTCAAATGGCTGGTATCGACGATGTGTACACAAGTGCTCGGGGTCAGACCTCAACCTTGGGAAATTTCGGTAAGTTCATTTATTGCCATGTAACTAAACTCAACCTTCAGCTAAAGCAACTTACGCAGCCATACGAGCTACCTATGAGTATCTAACACCTGATTTGTGGGACGTTGTTCCAAAAACAAAACACATATTTGTTGAATATGCCGGATATCTTAACAAAATTGCTAAAGAAGTTTGAATGATAATATATGTTGGTGGATATTAATTTGTTCTGTTAATGTAAGTTTGCAGTGGTATAACAGTTTTCTGGATAAATTTGTTCCGCGAGTCCACCCAAGAAAGCTTTCCGTAAGATTTATACAAAAGGGGTTCTTAAACGAAAAACGACTGTCATTTAATTAATAAAACTAACATGTACATAATATGTCTTCCCACGAAAATTAAAAATTTAACCAATGTTTTGTGACTTGCGTAGATTGTATTAAGTATTTGATACAGTGCTACAAAGTTTGTCCGACAAGTAAAAATATTGGTAGATTCTTTCACGAAGTTATCAGTCTGATACCAGGTCCTGTTCAGTCTCAATATTGGTGCTTTAAGGTTCGTGTGTGCTCCACTATTGGCTCGTTATGGGAATTTGAACTTCGGGATACCATAGGAAAAAGTTTTGTGCTCAGTCGGTAGTTTTTAAAAGGAAATACTGACTCATGTTTTCAGGCGTTTCGCAGCTTGACCCTCGGCTCCTAGATGCAATGCATTTTACCTGAACTGATGTTTCTAGTTATTATGCTACCAGTTCTTTATTCAATGGGTATTTCATTCGGTTATGAAATTCTCGCTGAGCTTTCTATACACATATCTTAGATTGGCTGTCGTTGTCTCTAAGTCTTTAGAATATTTCAATGCCAGCAATAGTAATATGTCAAAGTGAGGTACAGAAGTGTGATATCCTTCTCAGTGGGTTTCGGCTGTGGTCGTTGCTGGAGCAGGTTGGACAGTCATTCATTTTTCTTTCAGACCCGACCAGTTGCGTGCTGTCACTCTTAGATCATATAATGAATATGCGGGACAGTAAAAATAGAAAATAAAACCATCAAGAAACTAAATCATTGTCTTATTAGTAAGTTTTCTATGCGTTATCTGGATTCGTTCACAAACCTTGGTACTTTAGTCAAAAACCTTAAAACTCGCGGTAGTCAGTAACTTTCCGTATTCGGTGTGTTTGCAGCAAATCTCGTTTATTATTTTCATCTAAGTTCTCTGTTATTCGTTCGAAAAATAAATCAGCGCTGCCGATAAATTCAGATCCTTTGTGATACTATCTTAACGATAAGTGTTTCAGAACTTCAAGAGTTTCGTCAGCTGTGAGCGGAGCTATTGAATCATCACAAACTGAGAATCGTTTCATCACAAAGTACTTGCACTCGCTCTAGATCACCAAGCTACCCTGAGATTGGTAATTTTCAAGTTTACAAGATAAATATGATGAAGTTTAATTACTCCGATTAATATAACTTGTTTCGTGCTTGGTTAAACATCTATAGGACTGTGTATCTAACAGTTAATTGGCTTCATCAAATGGTGAAATTCGTCTATACAGTAGTTATGTAGTCGTTCATAAGAAGTGAGCTACGAAGGAAACATTGGTATGTTTAACCACTATAGATTTGTACTGATAGGAATAGTATAATTATTTGACTCATAAACTCATGTTTTTCACGTGTTTATGAAATTGCTTAGATAGTCATTTGTAAAAGAAATAAATCAATCTATATTTTCAAAACAAGCTTACAAATCATTTTAGGTTGGCACCGTAGATGACCAGTTCTTGTCTCTAAATTCAGTTCATGGGCTGACTTATCATTGTAGTTAAAAAGGTATCGACGAAAAGGACCAATTTAGCCTAGGGTTGCTAACTTGTGTACAGCCTAGTATTTCCTGGTCTCTATTCTCATCTCAGAAAATACCCAATAAGTGTAGCACCCCACATTTAAGGAGGTTCTGTCGTAGCATTACGATACCTGAAAATTAGGCCTAAAAGACAGGTCTTAATTGATTAGAGAATGAACGACCTACCAGCTAATTCATTTTAAATGCCTATGACACTACGGTGTTCATTTATGTTCATCTGTATATAAACGTGTCACTTTATTACCTAGAAATCCTTTGGCTAGTGGCCTTGTCTCGTCTAACCATTCGGGGTCTCCAGTTAGGTATGATCTTGTGAGTAGCCATAAATCGGTATTATTACTTCATAGCATTTGTCTGCCGATTAGCGTTCTTTTCATCGAGTTTTACAGAAAATCGCCATAGCAAAAAGTTATATTCGTCTGGTCAGTTCCATTTTCAGTTTATTTCCTGAATGGAAATCTGTGTCATAATCGATAATGAAATGGGAGTCACGCGCAAAACTTGTTTTTGGGGTTCAAGGATTTGATTTGAATTTTTACAAATTATGGTTCCCTTTCCTCTTCACCAGGCTTTCTTGAAGAATTGTAACTTAAACACTATCGAGGGACTCAGCAGTGCGTATCTACGGTCCTGCGTGCGGGACTCGAATGCAGGACTGCGCAAACACTTAACCACTGGACAACCGGTTTCTAATTCAACTGTTATAATGGGTCTGGTCATAATACAAACCACCGAAAATTTCACTGACATAGATTATAATTAGATGTTTTGCTTCATATACACCTTTATAGTTGTTAGCAGCATAATTTGTATGTATTTGCTGTATATTTCATAACAGCATTGTTGTAATGCTGGATTCTAGTAAAACTGTGCTGGCTGATGACTAATCTACAAATATGATAGTCTAGACATTGTGGTCACAGAAACATTGGTTTATATTACCTTCAATAAGAGCTGTTTGCCCGGACGTCCAAACATTCGTAATAGTACATCATTCAATGTATCACTCGAATCCTCACTCTGTGCCTTTTTTTTATATGAAAATTAAGTTGGTATACATTCACCAAAATATAGAGTTAACCCCTATGATCACTCATTCAAACAAGTATGTATCGGTCGCTACCAAAAGCCACTGTATGGTTAGATCATTAAGTATAACACTCATGATAGTTCCTCAATGTCATCCACCAGAATGTGTTCGAACCTAATTATGCTATTTATTTATTTAAACACAAACGTTGGTACAAGGGGACATCAAGTACGTATGCGCCACACAATGACAATGAGCCCAGTAGCAATTGCCGTTGATGTGTGTGAGGGCTGTGGTACTGCCCGGGTGCCCAGACCGAGGCAGGTGGTTCTCTTATTGGGCCACACCCCGAGTCTTTGACCTAAAGGTCTAGTCCTTAATACAGTGGAGCGACTTTAGGAGATGCAGTTCCTTGGTAGCCGGTAACCAGAAATGGGTTCGCACGCCTTTTTCTCCTCAGGATCCTGGAGCCCATTGATTTGGAATCAGGGTTTTCCAACCACGTTATGTGGATCCTCCGTATTCACCAACTCGGTTAGAGCGTCGGACATTCACCTGCGTCCTCTCCGTTTCGTAACCGACATCCCCGCCACGTTAGGAATTCTCTGACAGTGGCTGTATACATGTGGTCATATGAGAGTAATTTGAGGAGGGCAGACTATTCACCATCGGCTGTACCAGGACATCCATATTCCAGTTATAATTCACTAAGTTCTTATCCTACGTTTTTAAAATATGAGACAATTAGTAGGATATTCCCCGGTAGTTTTGGTTAAAGATTTCTTATGAAACCATGATTTTTGCATTAAATAGTCCAGTGCTTTCTCGGATTGTTTTATGTGGTTGTATATTTTGAAATGTAAATCAGTGTCAATTGCATGTATACAAATATTCTGTCATCATTAATGGTAATGACTCACTCGTAACCTTTATTTCATCAGTCATTTTTCATAAGCAGTTTTTCACTATTTTAGTATTCAAGTACAAACATTAAATTCAATCAATCAATAAAAGAGACAGCTGTATCCATTTTCAAACATAATTAACTTTAGCCTACTTGTAAACTGTTTCACTTCACAGTGAAGTGATATTTTCCTACTACATATACAATTTAGTAAATATGGAGACAGTCGGTTTCTTTCAAAGTGCTATAGTTTCGCGCCGAAGATTTCGAAAATGACATAAAAGCTCAAATAAATCACCTAGCTCAGATTATTTTATCACCAAAAGCATCTAGCTTAGTCACAAATCTCCCCCATGACATCCTACTATATAATACTTGGGAATTATTTATATCAACTTGCAAACGAAATAACTAGCGTTATTGGAAGCAGTATTCCCTAAAGTGAAGGATAGTATAATTCCTAAGTGGGATTTTACTTATCATAAGCTCTTTAGAGCTTAAACGCTGGTGAGTAGACACCAGTATAAGTTTGTTATTTGTATTTCAAACTTGAAGACAACAACCTGCCTAACAATGAATATGGAGTCTTCGGTTAAAGTTATTACAGTATATCGTAGATTAAGGTAGTGGCGTCAATATTACTCGTCATGAACCTTGAGTTTGTAGTCAGTCTTAGTAATTTCGCAAAACTATTGGAAGAGGTTAGTCTGAAAAAAATTATGCACCGAACCATATTATGGTCTACAACGCACTCTCATACGTCCTTCGGTATCAAGGATGCGTTGTTATGACTGGCCGGTTAATTATACGTCTACAAGTTCAATTGCTCTTACGGAGCAAGCTACGCACATCGCTCGTCAAACCTTTTCGTTCTTTGATTTTAAAAATTACAAAATGGTTTAGGAACGGACAACGTACGCAAGTTATACCTTTCCTCCAACTTACAGCAAATTTAGGTAAACTTAAATATTTCGTTTGAAATTATCAACAAAATCCGATCTAACTTTCAAAAGGATAATATCTGGATCTATTTTGTGATACAGCTCAGTACAGACCCGTGTACTCAGCTACGAGTCATTTTATGTGTAGGTTTTTGTCGTATTGCTCGGCTTCCCAAGTCGAAGTAGGTAGGATTTGAAACTGACTGGATGTTTGGGAGTCGAGATTTAAAACCAAGAATCCACCATTATGACTAATCCTGTGATACAAAAGCCTTAGCGATCCACAATTTACCATTAGTGCTACGTGCATAAATAGTTTGTTGGTTTCTCATCGATAACAATACATTATGATAGGTTATTTCTACTTAGTGAATACATAACACAACATTTGATTATTATGAAAGTGATCTCTTACTACTCACATCGTTAAGAAATTATATTTTTTGCGAATACAGGATATTTTAGAGCAGTTTAATCCGAAGACTATGCATCTAAACTTTAGGACAATAATTCTCAGGACTATCCAATCCCAATAATTCTAATGTAGTGAA